TACACACATGGTATGGGAAATCTCTACTATGAACATCTCCCACCAGAGTAACCACCATTGCAGCATCACACATAGTAGCTTCACAGCCCTGAAAATCACCTGTGCTCCAGCAATTCATCCCTCCCTCCCTCCCACCACCAACCCCTGGCAACCACTGATCTTTTTACTGCCTCCTAGTTTTTGCCTTTTCCAGAATGTCAGATAATTGGATTGTACAGTATGTGGCCTCCTCCAATTGGCTCCCTTCGCTTAGTAATACACCAAGTTTCCTTCTTATCTTTTGATGGCTTGCCATAGCTGATTTCTTTGTAGTGCTGAATAATATTCCATCATATGGTTGTAGCACAGTTTATTTGTTCACCTACTAAAGGACATCTTGGTTGCTCCCAAGTTTTGGCAATTATCAATAAAGCTGCTGTAAACATCTGTGTGCAGATTTTTGTGTCGACATAAGCTTTCAACTCCTTTGAGTTAATACCAAGGAGCACAATTGCTTGTAAGAGTATGTTTCATTTTGTAAGAAACCTTCTAACGTGGATGCACCATTTTGCATTCCCACCAGCTCCTGTTGCTGTATATCCTCAAAGTATTCCCTTCACAAAAACTGCCATAAAAAGTCTTTGACCCAGCCCTAGCCAGTTTGGTTCAGTGGAAAGAGCGTCAGCCTGGGGACTGAAGGGTCCCAGGTTTGATTCCGGTCAAGGGCACATGCCTGGGTTGCAGGCTCAATCCCAGGAGATAGCCAATCAATGATTCGCTCTCATTGTTGATGTTTCTATCTCTCTCTCCTCCCTTCCTCTCTGAATAAATAAAAGTATGTATTTTTTAAGGTATTTGACTTATTTTTAAATCAGGTTGTTTGTTTCCTTACTGGGTTTTAACTAGTTTTCGTGTGTTTTGGATGACATTCCTTTATTAGATGTGTCTTTTGCAAATGTTTTCTCTTTCTCCTAAGTATCTTTCCCAGAGTACAGGCTTTCAATTTTTTTTAAGATACATTTTTTTATTGATTTTTTACAGAGAGGAAGGGAGAGGGATAGAGAGTTAGAAACATCGATGAGAGAGAAACATCGATCAGCTGCCTCCTGCACACCTCCTACTGGGGATGTGCCCGCAACCAAGGTACATGCCCTTGACCGGAATCAAACCTGGGACCTTTCAGTCCACAGGCCGACGCTCTATCCACTGAGCCAAACCGGTTTGGCCAGGCTTTCAATTTTAACAAAGTCCAGCTTATCACTTATTTCTTTCCTAGATCATGTCTTTGGTATTATATCTAAAAAGTCATCAGCATGCCCAAGTAGATGTTGATCTTTCAAATTCTCCCAGTTTTCCCTTTCTTACCCATGTTTTTAATTTTAAAATGTCAAAAGCCCCCGACTGGTTCCATGGTTGAGTGTTGACCTGTGAACAAGAAGGTTATAGTTCGATTCCTGGTCAGGGCACATGCCTAGGTTTCCAGCTGGATCCCCAGTGGTGTGGGGATGAGGGCGGGGGTGGGGGGGGGGTTCTGGGAAGCAGCCAATCAATGATTTTCATCTTTGATGTTTCTATCTCTCTCCCTCTTCCTTCCTCTCTGAAATCAATAAAAATATATATTTTTTTAAGTGTCAAAAGTGCACTGAAGCTAGTTTGGAAAGAGCTCTACTGGGCATGTCTGGGACCACTGGAGCATCACATTCACGATGGGGCAGCTGACCCATTGAGTGAAATAGGAATGTGAGTTCGTGTTCATGTAGATACTTGGATAAGGAAAGGTGGTTTCTTACAGCAGAATGCTAACAGCTGGGAGGAATGACTAGATTAGAAAAGTTCCATTTGACAGTTGTCATGGCAGTTCAGCCAGGAAATATCAAGGTACTGAAATCTGAGAGGGTGGATGTTTGATGAGCTGGGTGTGTACATTGTCACTCAGTGCTCAGGTGGAGAGAACTTAGAATAGAGAAGACCCGAGCCTTTTATCAGAGGTGACATGGGGCTTTGAGGGTCTGGACACGCCCCATACGTGGGTGCAGTGGGGCATGCCTGTGCTAGGCCCATATGATGTCCTTCACTGGTTTCTGACCTCAGCAGTGTTTGTTCATAGTTCAAAGACTGGGAGCTGTTGGTTACTCTGGGGAAGGCGCACCAGCATTTGAGAAAGTGACAGTTTCTTTCTTGTTTAGAATAAAAGTTGAAGAGTAACAGTGGTGCAGCATGGAGAGGCCAGGCCTGGGCAGCACCAGTGCTTGGGGGCCTTCTGGGACTGAGAGCCTACACTTCCTGGCCTATAGCTTCCTGGCCCTTTCTGCCTGCTCTCTGACCTTGGGTGGTAAATGACTGGATGATGTGAGGGGAACCTGGGGTGAGTGTGGCCTAGACATGGCACGAATGTTCTCACATAAGCGTGTTGCCACACCACTTGGGCCAGGCCCCCTCCTCTCTGGGACAGGGGTGACCTCCACTGGTGGGAAAGAGCCGCCCCTGACGTGCTGCCCTGGGGCCCTTGTTGTGCCTTGAACCCAGTGCCCAGGTGTGGTCCCCATGTCCGGCCTGCTGCGGGGTGAGTGCGGAGCTCTCAGTGTGTTGGGAAAGGTTGGCTTCTGCTTCTTTCCGGGGGAGGGGAGTCTAGCTCCCCATGCACTCGTCATCTTGAGCCTGGTCCATCTTTGACTGAGGCTTGGTGGGTCAGTGGAGGAACACTATGGGGCCTTGGTTCAGTTGTTTCTGGCCCCCTTGAAAAGATTAGAGAGAGTCTAGCATTCCTTTGAAAGCCATGGATGTCAGGTGGTAAAGGTCAGCCCTGTTCATAAGATTCCCAGACTCTTCCTTCTAAGGGTGATTGGGGGGTGCGAGGGGCTTGAGTGCCCAGCGGACAGACTGTTTTTCTTTTCCTGTAGTTTGGGAACTGGGATTTCTTTAGCTCCCGTCCCGTGTGTTTCCAGGAGGAAGCAGGATGTTTGTCTCTCCATTGATGGTGGGAGGGTAGGTTGTCTCTGAGCTGCTCCTGTACTAAACCCTGGGTTGCATAGAAAGAGACCCAGGGACCCCTTCCTTGTCTCTGCAGGTTTCTCTGGCCACTGTCTCTCCCTCCAGTCTACAGCATGGGGAATATCTTTGCGAACCTCTTCAAGGGCCTTTTTGGCAAAAAAGAAATGCGCATTCTCATGGTGGGCCTGGACGCTGCGGGGAAGACCACCATCCTGTACAAACTGAAGCTGGGTGAGATCGTGACCACCATCCCCACCATAGGTGAGGAAGCCAGGCCATGGGGGGTTGGGGAGGTGGCTGGAATGGCTGGGGGTTGGCTCACACTGGGCCATGTTCCTGCAGGTTTCAACGTGGAGACTGTGGAGTATAAGAACATCAGCTTCACTGTGTGGGACGTGGGTGGCCAGGACAAGATCCGGCCTCTGTGGCGCCACTACTTCCAGAATACACAAGGTGAGGGCTGGGGGCCATGGCCTGTGGGAGAGGTTGGGTGTCCTCAGCAACTTCGTTGACACCTGCTCCTTGGCAGGTCTCATCTTTGTGGTTGACAGCAATGACCGAGAGCGTGTGAATGAGGCTCGAGAGGAGCTTATGCGGATGCTGGCGGAGGATGAGCTCAGGGATGCTGTCCTGCTGGTGTTCGCAAACAAGCAGGTACGCACTTATATGTGACTGAGTCACCCCAAGGGGCTGGGGGTTTGAAGGGATCACAGGTCAGGTGGGGAGGGATCCCAGTCTTCCTGATGATCCATGGCTGCTATGCCACCCTGTCCTTCCCACCAGGACCTCCCCAATGCCATGAACGCAGCTGAGATCACGGACAAGCTGGGCCTCCACTCTCTGCGCCACAGGAACTGGTACATTCAGGCTACCTGTGCCACCAGTGGGGACGGGCTCTATGAGGGACTGGACTGGCTGTCCAATCAGCTCCAGAACCAGAAGTGAGCCGAACTCCTCTCTTCCCCCTCACTCCTTCCTTCGCCCTTGCTTTCCTCTCATGTGGCAGATGTGCCCCTGTGGTGTGAGTGCCAGAAGCTGTCTCCATGGTCGGTCCCAGTGTGCTTCATCATGCTGTACATGTGCAGACGCAGCCTGCAACCGGGTTTTTATTTAATGTAAATAGTTCTTGTTTCCAATGAGGCAGTTTCTGGTACTCCTATGCAATATTACTCAGCTTTTTTTATTGTAAAAAAAAAAAAAAAAGAATCAACCCACTGTTTAGTACTGAGAAGGGATTTTGGGCACCCAGGGCGGGGCCTCTAGGAGTTGCTATGAGATCACCTCAACGCTCCTCCTCTGGGCTTTAAATCTGTGTTGAGATCCATTTTGGTGGTTGGTTTTTAACCCAAACTCAGTACATTTTTTATAATATAAATACAAGGTAAGGAGACACTTTAACACAGAAAAGGGAGAAATGTGCCTAGTGTAGGTTCTGCAGTAATGGCTTGAGTCCAGTCTGCCTGTGGTCTGTCTCCCATCTGGAGCGTGCAGTGGGCAGAACTAGCCACAATACATTCTGCATGGTCACTTACGGTCCCTGATTGGCTTTGTCTTGCTGGGTCATATGCATCCCATAGCATTTGTGCTTGTACCTGTGCTTACACCACTGCCTATGGGGGTGGGCTGGGGGCTGTGGCCACCACTAAGGCCCCTTAGAGGGACCCCAGCCTTCCCTTCGGTCAGTGTGGGTCAGCGTAGGTGCTTTGGTGGGACCACTCTGGTCAGAACGGGAGACCCCCATGGTCCCTACACACACTCACTTGCTCCAGGTTGTCTGGGTCTCACCAGTAGGAATGCAGACAGGTGACCGGTCATCTTAGAGCCTAACTCCTCAGAGCCCCCGTCCACATGTGCTTTCACTCCCTCAGCCTGCAAGGGTCAGATTGACATCAAAAACAACAACCTCTACTTTTTTCTTTTGTATTTTGATAAACACTGAAGAAATTAGAGCTGTTAAAATTTATCTTGGGGGAAAACCTCAGAACTGGTTTATCTGGTGTCGTGGAACCTCTTACTGCTTTCAATACACGATTAGTAATCAACTGTTTTGTATACTTGTTTTCAGTTTTCATTTCGACAAACAAGCACTGTAATTATAGCTATTAGAATAAAATCTCTTAACTATTTCATGGCTTTCCAGTGCTTGGGTGCCACTGACCAAGGCTGCCTCCTGGGACACAGGCAGGGATGGCTTAGAGAATGTGACCAACCCCCGATTCACCCCAGACCAGTTTCTTGCCAGCACTCCTGAGGGGCTTTGTCATTGGTCAGTCTCCACTAGCAGTCCAGTCCCTAGTCCTGGTCTAGTCTTGGGCCAAAAAGATCCCCATGTGGGGTGTGCCTGAGAGGCCAGGGCCTGGGATCACCTACGGTGATTTAGTTCCATATCATTGCTTTGGGAGCCTTTGACCCTTCTGGGCACCCTCCACCTGGCCAATCCAAGGTCCAGGTGTCCTTCCCCCAGGGGCATCCAGCCCTGTGTGTGGCCCAGCCCTCAGCCCTGTTATCTAGTCTCACTAACATGTTGATAATCAGGGCCAGGGTTCTGAAGACAGAATCATCTTTGCTTTTTAGTTCTTTAAAAAATCAGAAGCAAAATTGAATATATTTCATAATCCAGCCTGGGTTTTGTCTTTACTCCAATGTGATTTATTGTAAGTTTTCATTTCTTGTGTGGATGAGGTGGTGAATGGCTGCAGGCATATCTCCTAGCAGAGGCGCTGGAGGGAGGGTAGGGGAGGTGTGCCTGGAGATCTGTCTGGGAGAAGCAGAGCAGATTCATGGAACAGGGTAGCAGGTCTCTGGGTACCTGAGGAACAAGGGTGTCTCCAAGTATAAAATCACCTTCACCCCCCCATCCACCAATTATAAGCACCTTTGTTCTGACTGCCTTTTCCCCCTCAGAAAGGCCCACCTGCAGGTGAGCAATTTCTCCCCCGCCCCCACCACCACCACTAGGAGTCCCCTACCTAGTGAGATCTAAGGTGGTCCTGCTAAAACCCAAGGCATCTGACACATTTTCACACATCACTTTCTATTAGGACACTTCAGCTTAAAATATGTTTACAGACAGTCCTCAGGTTACGTCGGACTTGACGTACGTCGTTTTATGGTTACATCACCATCTCCCATATATTTATTTTTTTAAAAAGTTCCATCATTTCAATGTATGTACCATATGTGCTTTATGTTTTTTATTATTTACTTACCACAAGTAAAGGTCAGGAATTGTTATCTTTTAAATTTTTTTTACTGTTTCACTTCATTGCTGCTGTGTATGTGCTCCATGTGAGTGACATAGGTGCTTATGTAGGTGGGTTCCGACTTATGGTGAAATCACATTACATTACGTGGTGCCATAGGAACGGATCTCCGATGTAACCTGAGGACCTACTGTATTTAAGTACAAAGGATGAGTCAACACAAAGACAAATAGAAGGTAGCAGTAACTGGAGCCTAAAGCAGTAGACAGCTCTCTCTCCTGGGCAGATTTGTCCTCCTCTGATGGGCCTGGGGCCACCTGGAGGTGAGGCCTCATCTAGATACCTTGCCTGCTTACAGGGTCCTGGTAGGGCCCCCAGAAGCCTGCTCTCCAGCTCCCTGGGCCTGGCGGGGCACATGCTCAAAGGCTTCACTGAGGACAGGGCCTGCCTGGGGTGAGCTGGGTCTTAGTTGCTGTCATGCCCTCGCCTTCTCTTACAACAGGGCAAGAAGTCAGAGTAGTGCCTGTGATGCCAAGCCCTGGGGAATATGAGGAACTGTCTACCACCTGGCCCAGCCCCAAAGGCAGAGCTGCTGCTCCTACGTGGCAGGAGCCAGGGACATCAAGGAAACTTACCTTGGTCCTGTGCTATTTTTCTCCTCATTCTTGTGCTTCTTTCTTTTTCCTGCTCTTCTGATTCTCAGGGCTGTGAGGGGGCGGGGGGGGGGGGGGGGGGTGACCACAGTAGTCACCACATATGGCTATTTCAGATTGAAATTCCTCAGTACGACATGTGGCCAGCGACTAGCATAATGGGCAGCTCCAATAGGAGCCTTCCCACCTAGGCATAAAATTTGTAGGACCTTTTCATGCTCCCTTCCAACACATTTGCCAGATAGTATCTCCTCCTGCACCCCTTAAGTGGCCTCCACAACAGGTGGCCCCAGCACTTCGAGCTATCTGGGCTTCAATGGGCAGTCTTGCGATGGCCCAGGCTCCCAACCTAAAGAGGCTCCCCAGAAGAAAAAGGAGCTGGAGACAGGAACATTACTAGCCCAAGAGGAAGTCAGCAGGCCTACTGAGAGCCCTGAGTCCTATACTCCCAGCCAGCCCTTCCACCCCAGTTCCACCTTCTCAGGCCTCTGGGTCTTACAGTCCAGGGAGGCTCCTGGCACCACTGCTCTCCAGGCTGTAGTGCTGCGGAGGGAGCCACTCTTAGGGGGTGCAGGGCTCCCAGACATGCCGATTGGAGAACCAGCCCCAGTTTCCTGGGTCAGGAAGATCAGAGGGTCCCCGAGGGGAGATGGCCCAACCCCAGCCCTCAGCAGGAACAAGGCACCTAGGCCCCTGCGCCCATGAAATGCCAGGACATTGGGGGGGTGAATACCAAGAACCCCAGTTTAGCTGCCTCGTTTTCTCGGGACAATGCCATTCGGTCAGGGGGTACACGGATGAGACATTCTCCCCCACCCCTACTCGCCCAGGTCTTACTTGGGGATACCAGCTTCCACGTGGGCTGACAGGGCCGAGCCCCCTGCCCTTCGTTAGGGCCCCCACTCCGCACCTGTAGCTCCTCAGGCCCAGAAGCCTGTCCACTCCCTTTCCCCTGGGGTCACTTCCTTTGAGACTCCAGACCTCCACAGTCACGTGGGAAGGCTGGCAGGAGCTCATGGTACCGTGTAGTTTACCCCATCCCACTCCCACCTCGAGAAAGACGTCCCTCACCTCCTTGCTCAGGCCAGTAGGCTTTTTCACGTTCTTGTAGCCTCAGTGGAGCCGTGCGTGAGTGTCGGGCAGCGAGCCTCACCTCGGCCCGGCCTCCCCAGCGCGCCCCGTCCCGGTCACACAGCGCCGCCAAGAGCACCTCTGG